ACATCTAATAAGAGGAAGGAGTCTTCGCAGATGAATCAAGCATATCTGTGGCACCTTAGACTTGGACACATCAACCTTAGGAGGATTCAAAAGTTAGTGGCCAGTGGACATCTCGGTCCATTGGAAGAGCACTATCCAACTTGCGAATCATGCCTAGAAGGTAAGATGGCCAAGAGGCCGTTTACGGCAAAGGGGTATAGGAGCCAAGAAGTGCTAGGATTGATTCATTCTGATTTGTGTGGTCCTATGTCGATCCAGGCTAGAGGAGGTTTCGAGTACTATGTGTCTTTCATAGATGATTACTCGAGATTTGGGTACGTTTATCTGTTGCACCGCAAGTCCGAATGCTTTGAGAAATTCAAGGAGTATCGGGCAGTTGTGGAGAAGCTTCATGGTAAATGTATCAAGTCACTTCGTTCTGATCGAGGTGGCGAATACCTTTTTGGAGAGTTCAGGACATACTTATCGGAAGCTGGGATTGAATCCCAACTGACTGCACCCGGCACGCCCCAGCAGAATGGGGTTGCAGAGCGAAGAAATAGGACTCTTATGGAGATGGTTAGGTCTATGATGAGTTATTCGAGGTTACCAGATTCGTTCTGGGGTTTGGCATTGGAAACGGCATCGTATATTCTGAACATGGTTCCGTCGAAGTCAGTTGACACTACCCCTTATGAGATGTGGAAAGGGCGCAAGCCCAGTTTCTCACAGTTTCGAGTTTGGGGTAGTCCTGCACACGTGTTAGTGCAGGAACCTGGCAAGTTGGAGAAACGTTCGGAAGCACGAGTTTTCGTAGGCTATCCCAAGGGAACGAAAGGTGGATTATTTTATAGTCCCGAGGATCAGAAGGTGATCGTTTCGACGAACGCTAGATTCTTGGAAGAAGACTATATTATGAATCATAAGCCCGCGAGTAGACTAGTCTTAGAGGAGTTAAGGGGTGAAATCGATGGTTCCCCACCGAGTGCGCAAGTAGATACATCACATAATACTGCAACACGACACACTGAGAGTGTACCAGTGCAGACAGTGCCTCGTCGCAGTGGGAGGGTTTCTCATTTACCCGACCGATGGATAGGTCTTGGAGAGTCGTCAGACTCAGTTCCAGGAGGCCTAGAATCGGACCCAAGAACTTACGATGAGGCACTCCAAGATAAAGATGCAGATTCATGGAATGTTGCAATGAAAGCTGAAATGGGGTCAATGGACTCCAATCAGGTCTGGGATCTTGTAGAACTACCCGATGGGGTACGACCCATTGGATGTAAGTGGATCTATAAGAGAAAGAGAGGATTGGATGGGAAGGTGCAAACCTTTAAAGCTAGGCTTGTTGCGAAAGGTTATACCCAGATCGAGGGTATTGATTATGATGAGACCTTTTCGCCAGTAGCTATGCTTAAGTCCATTCGGATTCTCTTGGCTGTAGCCGCTCATATGGACTATGAGGTCTGGCAGATGGATGTCAAGACAGCTTTCCTTAATGGGAACCTGCAAGAAGACATCTATATGCAGCAACCAGAGGGATTCATTGCTGAAGGTCGTGAGCATCTAGTGTGTAAGCTTAATCGGTCTATTTATGGACTGAAGCAAGCTTCGAGATCTTGGAACATCCGTTTTGATGAGGTGATCCAGTCGTACGGGTTCACTCAATGTCCGGATGAGCATTGTGTTTACAAGAAAATCAGTGGGAGCGTGGTGGTGTTTCTTGTGCTTTACGTAGATGACATACTGCTTATTGGAAACAGTAAGAAGGAGTTATCAGACGTAAAGGTGTGGTTGTCTAAGCAGTTTGATATGAAGGACTTAGGTGAAGCAGGACACATTCTTGGTATTAGGCTCATTAGAGATCGTAAGAAGAGAATGTTGTGCTTATCCCAGTCTTCATACATAGATACTGTCTTGGCCAGATTTAGCATGCAGGATTCCAAGAAAGGTATGTTACCTTTTAGACATGGAATACCTTTATCTAAGGAGATGTCTCCTAAGACGTCTAAGGAGATAGAGGAGATGAAGACAGTTCCTTATGCTTCGGCAGTAGGAAGTCTCATGTATGCAATGCTATGCACAAGGCCGGATATTAGCTACGCCGTTGGCATGGTAGCTAGATATCAAAGTAATCCAGGACGGGAACATTGGTCTGCGGTGAAGCATATACTCAAGTACCTGAGAAGGACTAAGGAGTACATGTTAGTTTACCGTGCAGACAGCTTGTTACCTCTGGGTTACAGTGATTCTGATTTCCAGTCAGATAGGGATGAAAGTAAGTCAACCTCAGGTTATGTGTTTACCTTGGGAAGTGGAGCCATTTCATGGAGGAGTGCTAAGCAGAAATGCGTGGCAGACTCCACCATGGAAGCCGAGTACATAGCAGCCTCAGAGGCAGCGAAAGAGGCAGTTTGGCTCAGGAACTTCTTAGTGGACTTAGAGGTTATACCGAGTTTGCCACGTGGTATCACCGTGTACTGTGATAACAGTGGAGCAGTAGCGAACTCAAAAGAACCTCGAGCCCACAGGGCAAGCAAACACATAGAGCGCAAATACCATCTGATTCGGGATATCGTTGGTAGAGGAGACGTTGATGTTGCCAAGATTGCGTCAGAGGACAACCTAGCTGATCCTTTCACGAAGAGTTTGCCGGGGAAGGTCTTCGTCAAACACGTGGAAGGAATGGGAGTCATGAGCATGGCAATAGGATCGACATAGGTCTTTTAGAATAACGGATTGATAGGACTATACTGTAAAAGCGAAAGCTTTAAGTATAAGTGGGAGATTGTTAGTGTTATATACTGAAAGCTTGGCTTTGCATGTTATTACACATTTACCCTTTATGAATGAGAATCATGTTAGATTAAACAAGTTCTACGTTCTGTTGTTCTGCACTTAGATAGGGTGGGTCGTCATCGGGCGAACCGAAGATCACTCTATCAGTCACTTGCGAACAAGAATAGTTGTTCACAACCTAGATGGACATGAACACCCCATCCGAACGGTTGTAGTGTCAACTGTACAGTTTGTCTTGACTGATTAGTTGCACTAGTACATTTATGTATTGAACAGGATCCCAGAGAGGAGAAGTTCATTTTATACTGATCGTCGTAAATGAACTAGGCCTCGGTTAATTACTGCGTTCTCTTAACCCGTAAGATATTAAACAGGCAGATATATATAATATATATTACTTTGATTCACATGGGTGAGGTTCAGTTCGCTGGATTAATATTCCTACTGTTTTGGGTAATATTATTATATATAGGATGTGCTGTTAGGATATTTACGGTCACCATGTGCGTTAGTTTGATGATGTCCCCGGAGTGAGTTCATGAAGGATTGTTATGCTAAACCCTGCAGGTGGATTAAATTCCGGCATAATAAGAATGTGATGAACGAGCGCTAGCTTCGGTGAAATAATAATAAATTAATTAATTCTTGATTGTCAGTAATCGAATTAATTAATGGACATTATATCTTAAACGTGGGGAGGTAAATCGAGTAATTATTATTGGAGTCTCAAATGTAATTTGGGCTAGGGAAAGGGAGTGCAATAATATAATGTTGGTGGCCCATTAATATTATTTAATTAATTAGAGGAGTGGGTTTGGCCCACAGTTAGTCTAATTAATTAAGGAGCCCTTTTCCTAATCTCCTTAGGGTCCCTACTGTAGCTCTATATATACATCATTAAGCTCATGAGAAGAGAATAGAAGTCTCATTCTCACGTGAAACCATCTCTCTCTCTAGATCTCATTCGAGCTTTATCTTCTTCTTGTTGCTCCACTGGTACAAGTTGAAGAAGGGTGTATTGAGTAATACAGTAGAAGATCTGTAGGTAAACCGAGACGAAATTGATTTTGACCTACAGAACTAACCGGAAGTCCGATTGAGACGTACAGTATACCCAGACGACCGTCTCGACGAGAGCTTTCCATCGCCGCCGACGTCGCCGGAATCCGACGCCGCACGCGCCCTCACGCGCCGCCGGAAGGTGTCTGGCAGCAAAATTTCGTTTTGATCTGTTTGCATCCGTTTGATCCAGTTTTGATCTGATCTTGTTCGTGCAACCCAAGACGCGTGTTGCGGTCAATCAATTGCGGTCAACCATTCGTGGTCAACCAGATCTACATAAATTTTAAGCCGTAAGTTCTCTACGTCAAACCTTTAGATCCGCTGCGCATAGGTTTACGTTTGCTATTGAATTCGTGATTTGTACATAACGAGATCCTCACAGATCCCAACACACAGGTCGGGGTCGGCCTAAATTTTAACCGGGCCAAATTAGGGTAGACCATTTTAAACATATGACTCGGCGGTGCTGGGCCGTGAAAAATCAACGATTTTCAATTTTTTTAAGGTGAGTCCTGGATCTAGGTCAGGCCCAGTCCAGCCCACTGAGTCGTGTACCCGGCCTGTATCTAGGTAAGGGTCGTTTAAGAGTCGATGGTTTTTAACCCAACGACCCACCAGGCCAAGCCTGGACCGTAATTTGGCCATATTTATATTCGGCTATTCCCATGTTTGATCGAAATCACGCGCAGGCTCAGCGCGTGGGGTTCTTAGTGGTCTTTTCTAGGAGACTGTGACGTCTTGCCAGAGACGCTGTGGTTGGATCTCACATACCCAACCTAACCCCAGAGAAAAATATCATCCCACCTAAATATAGGCATTTTGGGCATTTTAGGAATTTTAGTCATTAAACATTAACGACCGTCGGTGCCATGCTTTCTCCGCTAAATCTCAACCCCATGCCACGTTTTCCTCTCCTCCCTTCACTCTCTATTTACATACACCACTCTGAAAATCAAAAGATTCGTTGAGTCAAATTCAAGCATATTTTTTTCACATTTCTTTTATTTTTTTCACTGCCTCCATTTTTGCAATGCACAGCATTGCATAGCAAGTTAGCTAGGTTTCAGTTTCAGTAGTGTTAGGATCTGAGAGACAATTTCTTGAAGGATAAACACTAATCTGCTTGTTTTTTCGTTTTCTGCCAAAAAAAAAAAAAAATGGAGGAAAAGAAGCGTTCAAGAGGGTGGTGTGGTTGGTTCATAGTGTTGGTAGTTTTAGCTGCAATCGCATTGGGGATTTACTATACTTTGCGGCAAAAGATACACAAATCGGACTCGTCGGACGCTGCCCCGGTGCCTGGGCCGCCGGGCGCCGTCGCGAAGAAATACGCCGATGCTCTGAAGATCGCAACCCAGTTTCTCGACATTCAAAAATGTACACTTCGTCTTCCTTATGCCCTGTTAATGTGTGTTGTTAGATCTGCATTTGATTATAATGTAGTTCAATTTTTCTTGTGTGTTACTTGAATTGCTTGCTTGTGCGCAATTTACTGATTTAACAGTTAGATTTAAGGTTCAAAATGCCGTGTTATTTAGCTGGTGTAAACGTAAATGGCGATTGACTGTGTTCTAGCTGCTTGTTCTGTGGGCGGTTCTAGAAAAGATTATGTTGATTTAATGTGCCTATGCTGTTATTGCGAGGAAGAAGATGTGGTGACTGGATTGGGTATTTTTACTTTTT